GAATCCACTACATTCATCTGTATTTTGCCCTACCTGCTCCTGAGCATTCTGCAGCTGACCCTCCAGCCTTGCTTTGTCCTGGCGAAGGTGCTGGAGCTCCTTCTCCGTTTCATCTCGGAGCTCAGTGGGCTCCAGGCTGAAGTGGGCTTCTGGAGGTCCAGGGTCAAGACCGCTCTCAGGTTTGGCCAAGATCTGCTCCCTCTGAACCCTAAAGATCACAGTGTATCATCACGGCCTTTCACTCATGATGAATTAACTGGGGATTTGCTCATGAGCAGGACGTCCATGGATGAGGTATATAAACTGAAAAGCAGGACATGAAAAGACACATACCCAAGTTTAAATGAACAGGAAGTCTCACCTGTACGCAATAAGGAGAGTGTGATGTGTCTTGGTGATCTTCTGAAGCCTTTTCTTATAGGAGCGAGCAGCAGCAGCAAGCTGTTCCTCTCTGACCCGGTAGGATGAACGAACATCCTGGAGCATGCTGTCTACAAATGCCCTCATCTCTGAAGTCTCAGAAGGGCTTTTACCTTCTCCAAGTCCATCAATGTAGTCCTAAATGAAAGACATGCAGATGGATGTTACAGCAGGGATGGATGTTGTATTTGAGATCGTCCTACCTTGCAGACATGCATGTGTGAGTGCTGCAACTCACAGCTAAGTCCTTTAAATAGCACACAAGCCTGGCACGGTATTGTTCATTCAGCTCCTTGATTTGAAGCTGCAGCTTTGAGTTCTCTTCTTCTACCTCCTTTACTTGGCTCTGAGAGCACATCAGGGCCTTGGATAGAAACCACACAAACATAATTCCACCAAGTAGCTTCTGTAACTTGCTTCTAAAAATTACTTTAACATCAATTCATTTGACAAATGTTCTGTAAATCGGTACGGGATTGCTCATGCTCACCGCTCTCTGCCCAGAGAGTTCTTGCTGGCTATTACGGATCGCTCTCTTGTTCTCCTGTTGCTCTTTCCCCATTGCCACCCTGATGACCAAAAACAGGCCCAACCACAAGAGAGTAGTGACCAAAATCCACAGACAGCCACATCACACAGGGGCAAGCAAAGAGACCACATCACACACACATTAAATAAAGCCATAGCTCAGAGCAGAAATCAAAGAGGGAAGCACAGATCAGATGTGTGTGGGATGAACACTGGGACATACTTCCTAAATGGGTTTGGCTGTTTGATGACTGGAAATGGAAAGATAATCATGTTTTGTCTCAATTAAGCTTGTGCATGAGTAAACGACAAACATCCACTGGTCCTCACACTTTCTCCTCCAGTTTCCTCTGCTGCTCCTCGTAGCTGTTCCTCATCTTCTCCAGCATGTCTTTGATGTCATCTTGGTTTCCAAGTAGCTATGTGAGAGCAGTTACCCAAACTGTAGTTACATAGTACACTGATGCTAGTAAAACATATGTGTCGGCCACTATCCCTAATAATGAGATATACAGTATGTTTTGTGCAAAAATACTTACAGTTTTGTTCATAGTATGCTGTTCCTTTTCCAAAGCTGCCAGATCCTCAAGCTGTTAATACAGTGATAGTGATTATAAAACTGGAATACACATTTAAAATAAATATAATAAAATAATTGTCATTATAATTATATCAAATTGATTTTTAAATATTACCTTTTTGGCCTCCAAAAAGGCTTTGTCAGAGGGTATAACATTATAAATAACTACATATGTAAATTATGTGTAAAATGTTAGTCTTTTGCACCCAAAGGTGCAGTAAATGATGCGGCATGGACTGTTGTGTGTGAGAAACATGTTCCTTTCAAGACACATGTTTCACATCATTTTATACAAGAACATGTTCTGCTTATGTTAGCTGAGGTGGGACAAACAGCAGCCATTTTATCATGCCAAAATGGCTGCTGTGAAAAAGGTCCATCAACACGCTGTCTCACCTTGACTCTGTTATGCGACATGCGGCTGATCAAGGCCCGCACCCTGTCCAGCTCACCGTGCAGGCCCTTGGTGGTAGTCTTCACACTCTGCTGCTGCTCCTCCAGCTGCCTACGGAGGGCGTCCTGGGCCTGGGCCAGTGCCAGCAGCTCAGCACTAAGCTCTTCACTCTGGGCCAGCTCTCTATCATGGGCCTCAGCTAGAGCTAGGTACTTCTTCTTCAGTGTGGCATACTCCCCTGTCAGGTCTTGGCTGCTTTTCCCTCCTACTTTCAGACGGGCCTCAGCTGCCTGGAGTTCCCTGAATAACTTTTCTCGCTCCATTTCCAGCTCTGTTATTACACCAACTTGATTCAGTATCTAACAGGGGGAAAGAAAGTGAAGCACAGATAGCCTCCGTGATTCAGGATGTAGAGTTAACCAATAAATTCTTGACCTTTAATCCCCATACAGTAAAATACATTACACTTATGTAGAATAATGTATTTGGAGGAAAATAGCCACAAGATACAAGAAATGTTTGGTATTACTGATGTTTATTTCAGTTCAAATAACAAGTTACAAATATGCTCAGTTGAATTGGGGAGCTTTTTTACACATTTATTGTTACCAAAAGCATTTTAATGTTGTGTGCTCTACAGGGCATTTACCTCATTGTGATCCTGACCAAATAAACTCAACATTTCAGCCACTTTTTATTAACTTAAAGCGATTCCTCACCTTGTTTTTCAGCTCAAACGTCTCTTCCTCGAACTGCTCTCTCATCTTATTTACGTGGATTTTCTCCTCCACAAGCTCCTTGGATATCTGAAAGAGGATGAAACAAATCTGCTTCTATACAGGACTGATACAGTGAACTTATAGTTCATATATGCTTAATTCAACTCTACCTTCAGTTTTTCCTCCTCACTCTGGACCAGCCTGCAGGACAGGTCAGTGCTGGAGCTGGCCAGGTGGCCCAGTCTGCTCTCCAGGTAGCCCACTTTAGTGAAAAGGTGTTCATTTTTGTCACGCAGCTGCAACTAAAGTGAGGTGAACATAAACACTTCTTTACAATGACGTGACAAACACACATTGTCCCCTTGAATCATCTCCCATGTTGGCTGTCTTGAAGTTACATGTCAGGGACAATTTTTACCCCTTTTGAGTTAACTAGATAATAGTCAACTGTTTATTTCCTTTAAGGTAATTTACCTACCAAACCAACTAACTATACCTAGCCAAAAATATGCCTTTTTTCACAGTATATTACTTACATTTTCTTCTGTCAGAGCTTGAAGTTGCTCCTGAAGTTCATTGGAAGTTGGCTGGTGATCCTCCATCTTTACTCTCTGTATCCACCAACAATATGTTGCCATGGCTCTACAACAAAACCGGTGGGGACACTAGCATTGTGTGCTTTTAGCTTTGTTTATGTTATACCGAAGATAACTATTTATTTATTTAAAGAATAGCACCATGAATGTCACTGTGTGTAAATGTAATTCAGAAAGACAACATTTCAACCGTGTCTTTGACTACCACTAAATTCGAACTAAACCCTGTTAAGTATTTCTCTTAGTTGTATCACAAACACTAGACTGTATTTGAACCTCTAACAGATATTAAATTATTGCTTATAAGTGATTAAGTCGATTATTTCAGTCTGACAAACACCAAGGCCGAGCTCCAGCCTCTGTCCTTTAGAGCCACTGCTGCTAACCACAAACGGTGAAGGTTAGTAATGTCGTTGACAGCATCGCCATCTTGTGGCCTTATTTGGGATAAACTGCTGTCTTCTCAAATCTGCTGTCAAAACGACTACACCCAGGGTTGGGAAGGTTAGTTTAAAAAGGTAATTGCTTATTATTACTAATTATCTGTTAATAAATGTAGTCAGTAAGATAATCCAGGTATCACAACATTATAGTAATGTAACTTGATTACATTACCAAAAAATATGTGCGCTCTGCTCAGTGTATTTTTTACAAAAAACTGATGTATTTTAAAATTGTAATCCTGCTAAATAATCCCAATTTTTACTAAATGTAACTGTAATCCAAACATCTGATTTTCTACTTTTTTAATATCCTGATTACATTACTCAGTTACATGTAATTGTCACCCCACCAAGCCTGACTACATCACTTTAGTATGGATAAACCAATATGGTCACTGTGCCCATTGTATATTGGTGGTAGCAATGGTTTCATATTACGGTTAAATAAAGGGTATTGTCCCTCCTGGCAGTCAGCTAACTCAGACTTACATGTTTAATTAAAAAGGAATACAACTACTAAAAATAAAACCTTTCAGGCCATAGTGCCACTTCATTTAAAAAATGTTTTATTATAGGAACTTTACAAGGTATAGGAATAATGCATTGTAATGTAAAACACAGTAATTCACAATATCGTGTGCTAAGTAGAAATTCACTCACAAGTTATCAAAAATAGCTGAAAAATAATTTACAGAGATGTGACTTTTGACACTGAGAGGACACTTGCAATACATCAATTGAATAAAAAAATACATTGTACCAAATGTATGTAAACCACAGAATTAGATCTGAGGATAAATCTATAACAAACCACACACTCTGAGCCAAACTTAGATTCAGCTCACAGGCAATAACCTGAATTCATTTATCTCTACCATTCTGCACAAAAATACAGCTGTAAAATGTATCCAGGTTTGGAAGATAGAATAGAAGAACTGCATTAAATAATTTACTTTTTACCCTTTTTTTGCAAATCATACATTATTATAGGGATTATTTGTGTTTTTTAACACATTTCTGTCAAAATAATGTGAATATTCAGTTGAATTTAGTAGATCTAGTGTATATCTAAGCACACTACCTCTGCATTAGGTTTAAAGATTATTTAAATCTATGTGAACATGACTATTAAAATATAAAAGCTTAACAATAAGCCCCTCTAGTCCTGAGTCACGCTTAAAATTTGCATTTTAATGTCTTGCAGGTCAAAATATTGTTTTTTGAGCCTGGAGACATCCTTTCTTCTCCTGTCTTCATGAGTAAGGAAGCTTTAAAATAACCTTATGTGGTATCTTTCTCTCTTTCCATCTCATCCATCTTCATTCCACAGTGCTTGTGTCATAATCAAGTGCCTTCTATTACAACCAATTACAGTGCTCATTTTATCAATGTGACTTCTGTTGGTAACTGACAGACCCCATGTTGCTGTACTCCACAGTCGTTGCCGGTATGAGAAAGTGCAGACTCTTTGCATATTCATGCGCATGAAAATCCAGATTCTTCATACACATGAATAAAGAATCCAAATATATGAAAATGTATTATATTGTTTAACAAAATAAAAACCGTCAGTGTGATTTATTCAAGATACATTTAAGTCCTCCTCAACTTCATCCTCCTCTTTCACACTGGGCCTGTGGTCATCACGATTCACGGGTACACCCATTTCTTTTTGCAGGGCCTCTAGGCTGGACTGGCTAATGTAGTACCGAATGTTCTGTGCTGGCAAAAGCTTCTGGAGCTCCTCCAGCTTACGGTAGGCCTAGAGAAGAAATATGGAAAGACGATAAAGAGCTGAGTGTTTGAGGACTTTTGTAGTTTAGAGTCGTGAATCTAGAGACATCTGACAGCTAAGACAATCTGACATTTAAAATTGTCTTTCACAGGATGCAGATGTTTTCTTTTACCAGTGAAATTTCACCTAATAAAAAAGCTAGAAAATAATAGTCACCACTTGGAAGTTGCCCTGCTGACAGTGGTGCTCCACCAGGAAACCAAATGCATCTCCAATCCTGACAGCAGGATCTAACTCTGGCTCCTCCAGCAAGGCTTCACATAACCGCACCGCCTCACCAGCATCCTCCGAATACAACCTGCACGCAAAGGACAAAAGCTCAAAACCTCAAATGAAGACAAAAATGAATCCCCACCCCAAAAACAAGGAGAAAAGAGGAACTTAAGATACACAAGAGAACAAATCTGAGTTGTGTTCTTACCTGCGTGCAAGGACAAATTTCTTGATAAGGGTGATTTTATGCTGCAGGTCAGCCAGTCTTACTTCCTGTTGTCCCCCTGAAGAATCCTTTGCTTTTGAGGTGCACTTGAAAGCCTCAGTCAGAGCATCTAGAGCCTTTTCATAGTTCTGGTAATCATCAATCTCCACCTTAACAATGGTCAACAAGAATTATATGTCACAGCATCTCACTATACTTAAGTAATGTGATTATAATCCAATACACTTTCTTTTCCTTCTCAGGGTCCGCTAGCTTCCTGCTTTGTGTGTGCATGTTGAAAAGAAATCTAATGGTTGTACACAGCCCTGGCTCTGTGAATGGGAAACAAAGTGGATCAGACCGAGCAGCATTTATGATTGAATGTTGAATGTTATTCCAGCCAGGATTTGTGTGTCAAACGGTTAGTTACTTTCCAACGGACATTGAACTTACTTTGTAGTTTGCCAAGATATGCTGTTGTTGTGATGTTAGCTATAGTAGCAGCAGAGTTGTGAGTATTGTTGTTTGGAGCTGTTGTGTTGGCTCTGGGAAACCATCTCAGCCTCTCTGCATGTTACTTTGGCAGCAGTTTGCTAACCAACAACATAGCTAACTCTAATTACTTGCTCTGTCACACTATATCATGGTATTTGTCATGCTATTGGATTTTTCCAGAATCGCTTACCCCACCTTTAAGTCTCAACAAATTAGCTATTGTAAAGAATCCCAACACCATGAGTGCTAACAAACATTTTAGTCTCGGTTCAAAGGTCACTGCAGCAATCATACGCTGTGTTCCGTAAGTACAATTTCTGTTAAAACCTGCTTTTTGTCAATTCATAACCAGACAAGTAACAATAATAAGCATCATGAAATGGACTAATATTTTGTATTGTGTATCGCTCTACCTGAGCACAGGCTTCATAGAAGCCAGCAAGCAGGTCTGGTGCCCTGCCTTTGGTGTAGAAACCAATGATTGTCTTCAAGATCTCTGGATTTTTCCGCCAGTCCAGAGACTGGAGGTAGTTGGCAGCCATGATGAAAAGCTCCTTCTGACGAGAAACATTGGCAAAGAATACTATTTTCTCCGTGTCCCCCGACTTGAGTAGTGCCCTCATGGCCTGTTTAAAAAGATACATTCAAATATGTTTAATACTGTCATTATACTTTGCATGAGCATGTATTTGTGTGTGTGTGTGTGTGTGTGTGTGTGTGTGTGTGTGTACTGCATGACATCAGGCTGACAGACAAGAAGGATTAATCCCTTGTCCTTTCACCCAGATACCTGCAAGATTATTTAAGCTTGCACAGATTCCATACAGTGTTTAAACCCCACCACAGTATTACTTTAGGCTTGTTGCCCGCCTGTGTGTATTTCTTGGTGGCCAGGTGGTAATTTCCCTGACGCATGCAGCAATCAGCTATCCTCTCCAGCAGCTCCTTTCGGGCCTCTTCAGACAAGTCTTTTGAATCAGTCACAGTCATTCTCTCTGCCAGCTCCTCTGTGATGGTTAAGTTCTGGGTTACACACAGCTCGAGGGCTTGATGGTACTTTGTTTATGTACACACAAAAAGGAAAAAACACAGACAAATAAGTATGTATACATGACCTGATATTTCCATGTATACGTGATGATGTTTGACAAACAGGTACCTTCTTGGCTGCTACCAGTAGCTCCACAGCCTTGTCATACTGGGAATGTGTGATGAAGAAGTCGGAGCAGCGTGCCAGAAGGGCTGGGTCAGAGTTCTCATTCAGATCCTCAGCAATCAACTGAAGTGCAGAGAACTGTTGGGTGGCAAAGGCCAGCTCGAGAGCTTTGGAGACATAACCAGCCTACAGTGGAGAAATTAGCAAAAAAATAAAACTAAACTAAAAATACTGCTCGCTTTTTCACTCATCAACACCGTTCAGTTTGAATATATGGTGCAATACTGCCCTCTTGTGAAATGATTTAGAATGCAGAACATAACCTCAGTCATTCAGAAAAAAGGAGACATTTGTGAGGGACCTTGTGGTAGAGGGCGACAGCTCGGTCCATATGAGTGCCTTTCTCCTCGTAGTAACAGGCAGCCTCCATCATGTCCTCTGGGTTACTGAGCAGAGCCAGGTTCCTCAGCTGGTCATCCAGACCATTCTCCTGTTTAGACACAATACACACACATCCATATCCCACTGAGTGAATAACAAAGAATGAACATATTTAAAACAAATACACATTTTTGTATTATTTCATCAGTGTAAAATGGCACACAGTCAACCAATATGATGACCAGTAAAAAGCCTTGATTCATAAATACCTGTCTGTTGCGTATACAGATATTTACAACTAAGAATGGGCAGAGAAGTACACAGTGCTTTACCTTACAAAGTCGTATTGCATTATTGTAGGCCTGGGCTCGTGTGTAGAAGTGGACGGCCTGTTTGATATCATCATGGCCCTCATAGTGCCTGGCCAGGTGGTATGACGCAGCCCTGTCTCCTGTTTCATTGGCTATCTCAGATGCCTAGTATAATAAATACATACATAAGCACATCAATCACCACAATCCATATCAAGTCAAGTGCAAATAATGAGAGTTAAATGAATATAAAAGGTTAAGATTTCACAACAATTTACATCTATATTTCAAAGACAGCTAATTTCTCATGTGCAAACAGTAAAAATAAAATATTATAAATATAACATGACACCTCTAATACAAACTTAGTTACCTTCTGAATGTTCCCCATGTAGCAGTGGACTCGAACCAGGGAGAGGTAATCTTGGGCACATTCATAGAAACGCAGCGCTGAATCCATGTCTGACTGGCTCTCCAGGTACTGGGCCCACCACTTATAGATGTTCCTGGATGGATGTAAGTTAGTGTATGCATATAGTATGAGAATCATGTAATATTCTCTGCAGATGACAAGGTGTTTACCATCAAGAGACACTTACTTGTCTTTCATTTTGTTAACGTAGATTTCTAGAGATGCTGTGTCATCTTGGAGCATTCTGGGCACTTCGACTCTGTGTGTGTCCGAATTCTCATAACTGTAACAAAAAGGCTGACAATCACACTTTGTTTCCATGGTTATTTTGTCCATACACATTTGACATACACCACTGGCATAAAAAACAACAGATTCTGTCTTACTATGCAAGGGCCAGGGTCTTGTCACCGATGGACTCCAGGTATTTGGCATAATTGTAATAGGTGGTGCGCAGATGGATGCGATCATGGTTCTCTGCTGTTTCCAAAGCTTGCTGCCATTGGCCAGAAGCCTGGTAGAAGTTGTTCAGCAGGTCATAGCGTTGACAGCCCTTGTACAATTTTTCTGCATCTTCCTATTGGAATACAGGAAAAGAAGATGGAAAGAGAAATGATTTTCGTCCGGAAAGTCCTGTGGTCTTTATGTTGTGCAATGCTTAGACCTAAAAAGAGGATATGTTATTTGTAACAGAAGGGTGTGGCATTATGTTATTATGTTATGTCATTATGACTGAAGTTTTAGGATTATTTATGAAGAACATAAAAACAAATTCCTCTTGAAAGATTTTATGATCTGGAGTGAGGGGATGGACTTTCTTTTAAAGGATACTGTACACCTAAAAACATTTCTTCATTGTCTTTTAGGGACATAAATAGCAAAAGACATAGCAAAAATCAGTAATTTATACACTGATAATTGAATATCTTACCAGCATGCCGAGCTGAATGGCCAACATTGCCACTTGGGCTTCTGGCTCAGGCTCAGCCTCCGCCTCCTTCAGTGCTTTTGCTGCCCTGGCATTTCCCATATTCCCAAGGCACACACGTGCCACATCCAGCCGGCGGGTTTTCACACACATCCGTGCCATGTTTTCCCATACTGCTTTACTACGGAGGAAAGAGAAATGGCTTGTTTGCAAGGGTAATGTGTAGCTCACTGCACTGGTATTTTATTATTTAACAGTGAAAATAGTTGTACACATGCATGTACAATTAGTTACAGTTTATGTTTATATTTTAGACCCAAACCTTCAGTATGCATGTGAAAATGGTGACAAACCCGACCCAAATGTACTGTAGTATTTTTTCAACATTTACCACGACTATAACCTGCACACAAACACTGATATAAGCATAGCCATACAAGAATGTATGCAGGACTTAAACTTAAAGGAAGAGGCCTGATTTTCTATCTCTGTCTTTCCCTTTTTTCCCTTTTGTCTTGCTGACGTAAATCAACCCCTCTACCCCCCTTTTCTTTTGCTTCAATTCCAAATTTAAGATTCCACAGCCATCTGGTCTCTATTTGCGTACCCACCCTCCTCCTTGCTTTAGCTGATACAGATGTGGGCTGTTTATTAAAGTTAGGCAACAGGAAATACCCAAAATCTTTAGGGGCCCTGCTATAAGAGAGGGAATGGAGGCCAAGTGAGGAAAAAGAAAGCACGAGTAGTAACTGTAAGCCAAAATCTTGCTCTATATGGTCACAGAAAACCAACCCTGAAACAAAAAGTAAGAAACTTTAAAACGCTGAGAAAAAAAGAGTTTTCTGCACACAGAGCGGCAAGATCTAGAGAGCCAGAAAAGGAAAGACAAGAGAAGGAACAGGTCTACATTTGGCCCCTCTTCCTATCTTCTTTTCCTCTCAGGAAACACATCCTGTTGCTGGCTGACTGCGGTGGCCAATATGTTTGTTGCACACGAGAGAGAGGACTTTAGCGAACGCCCCCTGGGCTCCAGACAAAAGAATACACAACAGTGACGTCTAAAAGGGGGTCTTTTGGACATTCTCACACACACACACACACAAACACATTTAAAGTGATCATGAAGGAGGGAGGTGTCTGTTTAAAGCTTGCTACAGTTGCGAACTGATGTCTCGGACTATGACAAACAGCAACTCCCCCATATTTCAACTCTGACCTCAAGGATTTGCAGAGAAATAGTGAGAGAGGGAGAGAGGGAAAGACAGAGAGTAGCAAAAGGAGGTGGGTTAAAAGACTTATTGTTCCAGTCAGGCAGTGGGGGTTCTTCTAGTTGAGAGACAGTCTTGGTAAGCCTCAGTAAAGCCATTGGCGAGACAGCCCAGAGCAACACTGTCCGGGGAATCTATGCTTATTTGCATCTGTACTCTTCTGAAGGAAATGTGAGGTAGCTGAAGAGAAAAGACAAGAAAAAAAGAAAGAAGAAATACAATTTACTCTCTGTGTAGGCACACAGAGAAGCCAGCTGCACGCATAGAAGTCAGACCAGCGCATTAAGCAAAGCACCGAAGAAAGAAAAAGGAGAAGATAAAGAGAAGAAAAAAAGAAGAACAGAGAGAAAATCAAGCAAGGAGCAAGATCCAAGAGTCAAGCTGCAGCCAGCCGGAGCCAGTGGAATGGACCTAGGTGCCAGTTGGATTAATCCCCGCGTACCCACAGTGCTGTCTGAGGAGGAGGGCTGAGGATCTCCTACAACGACAACCAACTCCTGAATGAGGATGAATGGAGATGTTCTTTAGCTAAGCCTCAAGACAACACTCTTGCCAATTCCACCTCTGTGTGAGCTGGGACAACACTCGCAAACAGCTGGAGGAGGAGGAGGCGGCGGCGGTGGTGGAGGAGGTGGAGAGGAACCAGGGGCCCCAGAGCACTGCTGGTGCTACTGCCCCAGAGGAGAGACCAGCGAGCGGGCAGGACTTTGAGGAAGAGCAGGGGTCGGAGGAGGGACACGAGGGAGGAGGAGAGGTGGCGGGCAGCGGGCGGCGCATGGCCGTGCAGAGGCTAGTGGCAGCGGCGGTGGCGGTAGCCCTGCTCTCCCTAGTCCTAAACAATGTTGCAGCCTTCACCCCCAGCTGGGTCCTGCAGGCTCTTGAGGATGGACGCAAGCGGAGTGTGGGACTATGGAGGATGTGCCCCGCTGGAGGGGAAAGGGGCCGCGACGATCTCCAGGCTGGGAGAAGGGGCCAAGGGACACAGAGGCAGTGTGAAAGCCTGGGATGGGGATCTGAGTATGCAGGCTACCAAGAATCCCGCAGCACTGTCAAATGTAAGTTTTTATGCTAGTTTTAATTTGGAAGTGCAACAGTTTTATTTATGTCTGCTATGCTAAAAAAATGATTTGCAAACTTCAAAAGTGTATAAAACTGGTTGAGTGATTGATTGTAGTTCTTAAAGGCAACAAATGCGGTACTAGGGATATTTCTGTGACCACTGTCAGGTTGTAGTAATGTTTGTTCCTTTCCATATGAAGCAAACTGCAAAAGAATTTTAGTAAAGAAAACAATTATGTGTTCAAGGGTCTCTAATTGAGGGCTAACTAACAATATGTCAAAACTCAAAAGCAAAGCACTCCAGTCACCGGATTAGTAACAGATTTACTTGATTTGTGCTACATCCATAAATTAAATCTAAGTGCTTTACTTCAGGTCAATGGCAGACTGATGTATGAGTGTAAACATCAGTGCATGGCAGCCAGCCAACAATGTATTGTATGTAACTCATTTAAAAACCTAATGCAGCCTTTTTTGGGGCGATCGTGTTGCTGACATGGTAGTATAAACCCTTATCTGGGTGAGTTTTCAGTCGTGGTGGATTTATGTGCTTTACTAGCTCCATTGAGAAATTTTCATTCAAGAACAAGTGTAGGAAATGCTGAAGGTTCATTGGCCAACTGTACTGGGCACAATGGGCAGCACTGCCTACTAATGTTAGACAAAGATGTGCCTCACCATTCATGATAACACAGTAATCATATCACCGTGCTACAAATGCATACTTTATTTTCCCTTAAGTTTCCAGTTGCACTACAACATTCAGACATTTTATCAGATTATCCTTTAACGATCAAGATCTCTGATTTAAGCTCAAACTGACCCGTCATGCATTTAAAATGAATGCATTTAAATAACCGTGCAGGAAAAGTGACAGCTCTTTTTTTGGTCCCTCAAGTGCAGTTTGACATGATGCGAGCATGTAACCTGATGGCGACAGTGGCCCTGACTGCCGGTCAGCTGATCTTCCTTCTTGGCCTAATGGAGCTGCCCTTCATCACACAGGAATCCCAGTGGTGGGAGGAGGCCATTGCTGCACTCTTCCAGCTAGCCAGTGAGTACAAACACTTCTACAACTTGTTTGTTTGCAAATACTGCAGAGACTGTGAAGGACACTATATTTACTAAGTAAATCCATGTTAAATAGAATGTAGGTGAAATGTGACAGTAGTTGAAACAATAACTGACTTGATTTACTACTATGAATCGTAATTTTTCATTTAAACATGTTTGCTGAAACCTCAGTGTTTCTGATTTTAGTGTGAAGAGTAAACCAAATACAACAACAGAACAGCCATATTAAGAGAGAAGATAGGGGAAACTAGGAAACAAGAAAACAGAGCACCATCCTCGGGATTAAGTAGTATGGAACATAACGAACTGCAGTCATGGTAACAAACTACCTTCTCCACAACCACCACCCATATATCCATCCCACTCAACCACATTAAGAGCTGGCTGGTATGGTCTGTCCCAGTGCCCCTGCTGAGGAAGCCTGTTGTGTTGTGTGCAGTGGTCGCTCCGCCAGTTAGTATCATTGTGGCAGAGTGGCATGAAGGGGGTCTGTTCTGGGGCTAAATTTAGTCCTAGTCCAGAAACCATGGGCCAGAGCTGCAGCGAGCCAGGGAGCGACTGTCGGGCGCCAGGATATCCCTGCTCAGGACGAGGAAATGTCTGTGACTACCTGTTATGCAAACCCCCGAGCTGAAGAAGGAAAAAGAGGGGAGGGGGAATGCACGGGAAAGACAGTTTCGACAGGGACTGTGTGTTTGTGTGCGTACTGGCACGAGGGATTATGTGCATGCAGGTTTTGTGTATGTCAGTGTGTGTCTTGTGATTGTGTGTTTATAGTGTGTTTTGGTAGAGAAATGTCCTGTGGTACATGCGACAGTAGGGCGGGAATTGCCTCTGTCTAGATAAGCTGGCCTAGCTTTTATGTCTGTGTTTACAAAATGCCCAAGAGCAGCGGCACATAAAGGATCTCCTCTTTATCGTTAGCACCTTTGGCACGTATTGCGGCAGTGATGAGGGCTTTTATCTGAAGGCCTTGGTGAGAGGATTGAGACCCACCCAACATTACAGTATTTTCCAATATTAGATGACACCACCAGCCAAAATACAGTTAGCAGGAACTTGTCTCACCAAAGCAATAAAGACAATGACAAATAAACAGATTTCACATCCCATAAATCAACATGGGGGTTGGACATTTATTGCTATTTGGACAATATGGTCAATGATGATGGATGACTAAGACTATGTTTATAAATGTTGGCATTAGGAACAATAGAGACAAAGTCTAAAAAGTAATAAAGAGTACACACCTACTTCCCTGAAATCTAATAATAGTACTGCTCTCTGGAAAAATGGCATCTTCCAATTTTACTCTCTTACCGTGTATGGTCAACAAAGCTGGTGAGTAATAAGATGACATGTAGCTTGGTAAAAAGGATGTTCCCAGACAGAAGCAGAACACCATATATAGAAAATATCAACCAAATGAGTTACAACAGATACAATTTACATTTGGCAATATGTGGACAATCTGAGTTGAATGAGGGAGAATACGTTTATTATCATTTGGGAGTTTTACTAACATATATATATATCCAAGTAAGAACAGTTAGACAAAAGAATCCCAACTCAAGGTCCATTTATAGCTTTTTCCAGGGCTTTCAACCACACCAGATGTCTTCCTTAGCAGATGGAGCTGTGCTATCATGGAAATTTCATAGTATAGATTTTTTAAGAGCTTTTTTTTTTTTAGAGTTAGTGAATTAGTCAATCGACAGAATAAAAATTGGCAGCTATCTTGATCAGAGACGAATCATTTTAAGAATCTACAGCCACGCTGCTGGTTCTGAGAGTAAACCAAAGTATTGGACATTTTGACATTTTTATCCTGATGATAACGGTGGATGAAAAGCTATTACACCCTGAGGGGAACATGAATGTCTGCATCAAATTTTATGGCAATAGATAACTCATGTGGGTAGAGCTGCCACCCCATGTACCAAGGCTGAGTCCTTGCTTGCTACGAATCCGAAACTGCAGCCCTTTGCTGCTTTCCAAACTTTCCTGTTACTCTTCAGCTGTCACTATCCATTAAAGGCAATAGAAGCCCCAAAATATATAAAAAACCATGTTAATTAATTCAATAGACAAACACTTTACTCAAAAAGCTCAAACTGATTGTGGCACTAGGAGAAAACTCAGGGGACCATCAACATCATTAGGATACATGGTGTGGCAACCATGAACGTTTGCACCAAATGCTGGACTAAAGTAGTGGACCAGTCAACAGACTGACATGGCCATCCCTAGACACAACACTAGCATGTATAAGAATGCCAGCTCCTCAAATTTTGAGGATTTGTAGTTTTCTTTGTCTCATAGTCTTTCTTTGTCTTTGTCTAATAGTAAACTGAATATTTTGGGGGTTAGACTAAAAACAAGCAATATGATCTCATCCTTTAGGAAATTCAATGGGCATGGGTTTTTAAGTATTAAAACAGTTAATCAATTAATAGAGAAAATGACAGTCGGATTCACCGATAATGGAAGTTAGTTAGTCTTAAATAACAAAACAATAAAAAAAAATCTCAAAAGAAAACGGCTGCAAAAATACATTCATAATCCTTTAACAAATTCCTATTCAAGTAAAATGGCCTCATTTTCCGAGTACAGACAGCTAAACAGACTTTAACCATTCAGTAATCCATTCTCCATTCCTACTTAAGACCTCCCCCATGGAGTCAGTGAATGGGCTTCAGCTCTGAATGAATGGAGATATTTTTACCCATCACCCTCTTACTCAGGAATGTTTTCATTTTCAGACTTGCCAAAATGCTCAGTTATTGCAAGCAGACTGTGAAATAACAATATCCAGTTCCATTCAGTGATATCTCAGCAGTGTTGGCAGGTCCAGGCTGTGTTCACCCGTGGAGGAGTTCTAATGTGAAACTCATTACTGCAGGTCATGTTCTGTCAGAGAAAAACTTTTCTTACCGATTTTGAGGAATTGTATCTGTTAAATCTGGCCCCTGAAGGAGTCAAACTTTTCCCAGAAGTCTGTGGCTCAAGGGATTCCTAGCAATAAGGGAGTGTTAAAGGTTTGAGAAAGACATCCAGGCATGCTGGTCACTTTAATAAATTATGTGCCCTTTAAGCATAAACCAAGACATTACAAAGGGGAAGGAAAACAAACCAGCTAAATGATTTCCAAGACCTTGCCTTAGGTTAAGCCTTGTTTAGATTTTCTCTGTGACTGATCATGTCAAATGTCCAGCAAATATATTAACCTCAAGTTTAGGGTGCGGAGGGAGGGGAAGGAAGGAAGGATGGAAAGAGGAAGAAGGGGAAGGAAGTCTGAGAGATAAGTCTGTGCCAAAAAAGAGGTTCACACAGCCCACCCTGGCTGGAACCTGGACAGGAGATTATTCATTTTCTTGGATAAGGAGCCAGACAGGTTAAACATGAACAGATTGAGCAAACAGTTGCATTCTTAAGCGTACACACGGTGGTAGACACGCAATGATACACAGACACAATTATCCACATCCTTACTTAAAACAATGACATGCCATATTACTGTAGAGGTAGAAAAAGAACTCGCTGACTGCTTCAGGAAACGGACTGATTCATATCCTAAAGCACCAACATCCATATTTCCAGTGATTATTTTTGGTCCCTATATTTATACCACTGTGGATGTTTTCAGACATGTATTACTGTGGAACTGGTGGATGGCTCCAGACCACACTTGAATGTGGTACATGAGAGGTCGACTGGGGGAAACGTGACGCATTCATACACACCTCTAATGGTAAAGAATGAGGAAAGGTGTGGGCTATGGAGACAATGAATACCTTTCCACTGAAGATGTCAATAAAACAAAGTAAAGATCAACAAACAGCATGGAATTGAAGGCTGTGGCTTTCTACTGTTGCATGCAAACAGGAGTTCCTCGTTGCGTGAGTCAAACTACAGTGAATCAAAGAAATCAGGAGATAAAACATCTCAAAGGCTTTTCTAAGTATATATTCATGCTCCGATATTTTTACACTATTGAGAACTTTGATCTTGAGATCTCAGAAGTTCTTCCGAGGAGGAAACAGATTTCCAAATTCAAAGGCCCCACACAGAGCTCCCGCTGAACTGTGAAATACAAGGCTACTGGGATGGATATTTGAATGTGAGCTTGTGGGATTTTAAAAAGCTACTCAGACACACTTTCTATTAAATGACTGTACTTTTAAACTGTGGCTTTCCAAATATCCAATAAATACTAAACTAGAAATAGTAAAATATATACATATGTAGTCACAGAGAAGAAAACATTCTTCTCCTTGCTCTGCTAAAGAGTTTCTGAAGAACATTTTCTTTTTTTGCGACCAGCTTTTAGCCAAGTTAGCTCCAAGTATGGCAATGCCAGTCGGTTGGTCAACCACTTTGGTCCAG